GTGCAGTAAAAGGGAGAAGAAACAGGGTAATCTGGAATAAAGAAAAAAGTGGGCAGGATGTATAAGGGGGGGGGGGGGCATGGACTTCCCACCCCTTCCCTGCTCTCTGAGCAGTTCTGTAAGTGGGGAGTCACGGCATAGACCACTGGACCTGATCCAGCCACTGAAGGGTGACAGAGTGGGACAGGGTTTTATGTGCAGCACGTGGCCTTTGGTTTGCACCTGTCTCTGAGTGTGTGCTAGCAGCATAGCTAGGAATGGAACTTCGTACGGGCCTGGCTTCTGGTGGACAGCCAAAGCCCTCGAGTGTAATGTCACAGCAAGTCATCTGCATTTTAATTTGCTTAAACTTGGCACTCATGCTGGCTCTGGTTTGAATGGACCATGACTCAGAGCCACTCATGGCCAATGTGAAGGTCAAGCACTGGTGTGGGTAAGGCAGCACCTTCTTGTGTATTTGCATGCTGGGCACTGAAGGAAAAGCAAACCAGAGTCTGCTGATGGGAGCAAGGGGCCCTGCTCAGAAGGGCTTTGCTGGGATGAAGCTAGAACTCACTGGCAAGGGGCGGTGTGTATTCCTGGCTGCGCCCATTCCTGGAGGGAGCATGCTCCAACCCTAGGTAGGAGGGTGAGGATCGGCACTTCAGCTCAAGCTCTGACCACATGGCCTTTAGAATCAGGGGAAAGTTGGGCTGGAAGGGACCTCAAGACAGAGGCATAACAGATCAGGCACATACTACAGAAGCAATAGCCATAGGCTCGCTGTTGGTGGGGGAGATGTCACCTCCTATTTTTGGGACTGACAGGTATGTTGAACAGCCAAAAAAACACTGGTTTTCAGCGACAAAAAAAGGAGCTGATATCTCCCACAGCAGCAGTGAGCCACCAGCCACTCCTGTATCATCGCTGCTTCCCTGCCCTTCCTGCAGCTGGAGCCAGAGCCGCCATAGAGGAAGTGTGGGGGGAGGAACAGGGCATGGGAGGGTGAGGCAGCCCCCCCTGCCTTAGTCAGTGCCTGGGACTCATGCCCCTTTTGCCCACCCACCTTTACACTTCTGCCTTAAATGGTCACCCTGCCCTGAGGCAGGATTGAGTGTACCTGGCCCATCCATCCAGGATAGATTTTGCATGACCTGTTTCTAAACCTCCAACAAAGTAGATTCCACCCCTCCATGGGAATCTGTGCCTGTGATTCACTACCCTTAGAGTTAAGCAACTTTCTCCTAAGAGTCAATCTAAATCTTCTTTGCTGCGGAGTAAGCTGATTTCTTCTTGTCCTTCTTCTACCAGACAAGGAGAGCAATTGATCACCATCCTCCTTATGTCAACATAGGGATGGGGCTGTTGTTATGTCTTCTCTTTTGTAGATCAACCAAGGCCAGTCCCTTCAATCTAGTCTCACAGGTCATGGCTTTCAAAATTTACATCACTCTTGTTGTTTTCCATTTTTCTTACAGCCCCAAACTGGACATAGCACACCTGCTGGTCCTCACCAACATCGAATAAGAACAACTATTTCTTGTGTCCTAAGTATAGTTCTTCTGTTAACATATCTCAGACTGGGATTTACCTTTTAAACAATATATTTAATTATTGACTCTGTTTAGTTTGTAGCCTGCTAGAAACCCCCAGATCCATTTTTCCTATACGCTACTATTCCCTGCCCTTCTAGGGAATACTTATTTCCTATTTGTGCATTTGATTTCTCCATCCTAAGCATCATATTTTGCATTTGTCTTTATTAATTCTCATCTTGCTGATTTCAGATTATCTTTCCAATCTTCTGAAGTCAGTTTGAATTCTAATCCTACCCTCCCCACCATGCAAGCCCTTCCAGCTCAATATTGTCAACAATTTTTAAGCCAACCCTATATTTCATCCTCCAAATAGTTATTGAATAGAACCAGGCCTAGGACAGGTGCCTAGAGTAACCTGTCTATGTTGCCTTCCCAGTTTGACAATAAACCACTGGAAACTAGTCTTTGAGGTAAGTTTTTTATCAACTGTATGTTCATCTAACAGTGACTCATGCAGAAGCTGTTACATGAGAAAGTCATGTAGGACAGAGCTGAAGGCCTTACAGAAGTCAAGCTGCATCTCATTCATTGCTTTCCCCTTGTTCACTAGGCCAGCTGTCCTATCAGACAAGGCAAGTTGTTCTTGACAAACCCTTGTCAGCTCTTTCTACCACCTTGCTACCCACTAGCTCTGCACCAATTGACTGTTTAATAATTTGCTTGGGGACTGAAAACCCTCAGTTCAGTTCCTGGTCCATCAGCCAAGATGGGGACAGCTGCTCAGTTATCCTGCCCCTGCCCTCCTTATTGGTGTCGTGCTCAGGGCTTGTCTTGAGCACAAACCTGGCAGTGAACAGGGGCAAGAAGCAGTGTACAGTATTAATCAGCTTCCCTGCAGATGCTGTTTTTCATGGCACTGGAGGTAGCAAGCCAGGATTATAGAGGCCCCAGTGTCTTTTCTTAGCTGGCATTAAGGTAAGATGGATGATCAGTGTCTATCCTTGGGGCATGGATAATGAGATCTGACATTTTCCTCCAGGCTTTGCAGACCAGGCCTGCAGAAAAAGAGGTGCTAACACCCCGCCTTTGTGGGGCTGGGCATGGAAAGAAAGGAGCTTTGCAACCTGTTCCCAACATTGCAAAAGCTTGAGAGAGGGCAACGTAGCAATCACAGCAATCCAGCATCTCCTCTAAGCTTCAGTGCCCACAGCTCCTGGGGCATGCACACTGTAAATGATTTGCTCTGACAAACTCAGGGACAAAGCCCTGGAGTTCTAGTGCTTTGTTCCCAGCTCAGGCAAGTCAGTCAGACTCCCAGTGATGCCAAGACATTATCTCAAAATGCCCTGGCAAGGCTACAGGGTGAAGTATTAGCAATAGCAAGTCCAGGTTCCAGCTCTGCAGAAATTTGCAAAACTGCCATGAAATTACAAAGGTGGGTGCTATGGGAGCCAAGGGAACCACATAGACTCACATCACATGCTGATCTGCCCTACTATGGTCAGTGGAATAGTGTTGCTTACACCAGCTGGGGACCAAGCTGACATATAAGCAAACAGCCCCTTCTCTGTGCTGGATCAGGGTTTCCTGGGACCATTTGCATTGCAGCACACATGGAGAGGCAGAGCTGTACATGCTGTCTCTCGCTGATCAGGACTCTGGCTTTCACCAGCTCTGGATCTGGAGAGGAGTGAGCTCCCAGACCCACTGGGCTGGGATCTCAGGGAAGGGGTGCTGAGCGCCAAGGCCTGTGGGTGCTTAATACCTTAGTAAAATGCTGCCAGCTCTTCTTTCCTCCTGGCACTTCCCTAAGCTGGGCCATCAAGCCAATATAAGGGTCCCTCCATCAAGCATTCCCACCACGATGACAAACCATATCCAACAACCTGGGTAGGACCAGCATCACAGTCTCACTGCCTGGATGCTGGCTCAGAACCTGGGTATTGGCTGGCTTGGGATTGAGGGCTTCTGATGGATAGCTCTGGGCCAAGGGGCGGGGGCAGGTTTGAGGGGTTTGGTGCAGGATCTGGGGTGTTGGCTGAGATCAGGGAAAAGCAGGGCTCAGCCTCTAACCCAGCACATACCCAGTAAGAGCAGCTTGACTGTCCTGGCATCTTTCTCGGCATCTTCCTTGAGCTTCTTCTCTAGCTCCCGCGAATGCTTCTCTTCTGCGCTGGCCCCAGCTCCCATCTGGTCTTCAGTATACTCCTCTTCTTGATCCAGCCACTCAGCAGCAGTAGTGTAAGCCCAGGGGGTATCCAGAGCTCTTGTCCTGTCTCCTCTGGAACCCACTACTAACTCTGGAAGGCCTCCGCTTGCTCCCTCCTGCTCCGTCGTGAACCCCAGAGAAGAATGACACTCCTCCCAATGCACAGTGCCAGCCAGTCTCCCACAAAGGAGGATTTCGAAGCCCATGGAAGTCATGTGCTCCCTGCTGCCCAATCTGTGGCAAGGACAGGTGGACAAGGAGCAGGTAAGGCCCAGGCTCCCCTCCCTCTGTTTCACTCTGATCAGACTTGCTGCGCTCAGCGACATGAGCAGCCCCATGAGCTGATGCCTTAAACCCATCTCTGAGATAAATCCCCTCAAATCCCCCTACCTGCTGAGTGCAACAATTTCCAGCCTCCATCTGCTCCCATCCAGGGATGCATCATCAACGTGTAAAAGCAGGGACTTCCTCACAGCCTGGCCCACCATCCGTGCCCCAAGCTTCCTGTGAGGGGAGGTGGCCTGGGGCTGGTGCCAGAAGAGCTGGGCCCTGAGCCTACATCTCATTCTATGACCTTGGGTGAGTCACCGGAAGTCAGAATCGGTTTCTGCTGGTAATATAGGGGACTCCGTGTTAGGCACCTGACCCAAAGTCTCTGCATGTACAATGTCTTGCATCAACAGAGGCAATGTATCCCACTGTGAGCATACACAGAAACCAAGGCTTCCCAGCTTAAGGGGCTTCAGGGTACATCCAGGCTGGCCACTTTGGCATGGACAGAATCAGTGCAGGGTGTTCTTTCTTGCCTTGCAGGCCAAAGCTCCCTGGCACAGAGTTTCCTGGGGGGCAAAGGGGAGAGAGAGGGAGTGCAGTGAACTCTGAAGTCTCCTTGAACCCACTGGGGCTTAGGGAATGGGGCAAAGCCCCAGGGAAACCTCCTTGCCCCTGTCTGCCCTTAGTCCCTGCTGTGTTCTGCCCCTAGGCTGGCAGTCCCTCAATCATACTTCCCAGTTTGCTCATTCCACGCATCTCTGTGCCCAGGCAATCCACCAGGTCCCCCAGAACCTGCATGACCTCAATGAATGGAGCTCAAGGTGGACCTGGGCCTCAGGAGAACCAGACACATCAGCACCCAGCAGCCCGACAGCACCGCAGAGGACAGGCCCAGAGCCAAGACAGAGCATGCTGAAGAGGCTAGGGTACCGGGGTAGTGGCATACTGAGGGGTTGGCTTGCAATCAACACTGAGTTGGGGCATGGATAGCAGCAGCAGAGGACAATGGGGCTCCAGGCTGGGCTCTGGACCAACAGAGGTATGCGCCTGGCTGGATTTGGGGACTCCATGAATTGTAATGGAGAGAGGGAAGAGGGATTAAGTCTTTGGTAGCCCAAGCTCAAAGGTCTGTCTGGATGTGGAATGTGTGTGGGGGAATGTACCATGGCGGGGGCTGCACTGGATATTTCAAGGAACCTTTATGCTTTTCTTAAAGGTAAAATAATTCTTGTGAAAGACTGAGACTGAGATCTGGCTGGTGCTGGACAAGCTTCCTACTTATACAGCTCTGCTGTCTCGCATCACAACCTGCAGCCCCCTGCGTCTCACCCCCAGTCAATATAATGGACCACTGTCTTGTGGCACCCTGTTCTTCCCTCCTAGGAAGTGGGAGCTGATCAACCTTTGGGGTTTTCCTGAAACCCAACTCCTGTCAAATGCATCCTGGGGGGAAGGGAGGGAGGACTCAGAGAGGTGAAAAGCTAAATGAAGCCCTTGCAACTGCTTGAAAAACAGCCCTGGGGATCATGGTTATCTGAGAAAGGAGGGAGGTGGCCAAGGCACTGGAGTGTAGGCCTGGAATAGCAAGGGGTTGAGACAAGGAGTCCAGGCGAGCTACTGCCACGTCCCTGTCACCCACAGATGCTCCACTCTGTAAACGGTGCAGCATGGGGTGTACATGAAGGAAGAATGGCCCTGAGAGTAGTGTACTGGGAGTCTCCTGCGTACTGTAGGGCGTGGGAGTTGGGAGAAGGGCACAAGAGTGAAGACCCTGCTCAAATCCATGTGTACAGAGCAGTCCAAAGCAGCTGGGTGGATGGACAGATGCACAGTGAGAGAGGGACTCTGCCTTGGATTGTAGGGGGAGGGGGAAGCAGGTGACACCAAAGTACTGAAGGGAAATGGGTCAGTACCAGGCCATGCAGTGAGCAATGGTGAGGCTGGAGCTTTGCCTGAGTGAAGGTGTCCCCATGCCCAGGCCAGGCGTCCCCTGTCACAAGATGCCAGGCTGAGCACATAGAACTCAGGACCCAGGTGGCCAAAAGTAGATTTCCCCTGAGGGCCTCACAGTGGAAAGGTTGGTGCTTATATCCTGGGGCTCCCCTATGCCTGAAAACAGTGCATCTGGGATGATCAGGCATCAAGAGCCCTTTGAACTGCATTAGCCCCGTGCTATGAGCAGGCCGGGGGCGGGAGGGGTGCTAGGGGCACAGCAGCCTGGACCAGCGGTGTGTGGCTGGGGGTTGAGCTCTCTGCTGAGCAGTGCCACATTCAGCCACCAGGGGGGGCAAAATCACCACAAATCCCTCCCAACACCTCCCAGTGCTACCAGATGAAGTGAGGCTGAGCACACCAGGCCTGCTGCATTCATGTGTGTGGAGTCCCCTCTCCACCTCTCCCTGTGCACCCTGTACATGCCTCAGAGCCCTGCCATCCCTCTTCTCCCCACCCCTACCAAGCTGGCAGAGGTCTGGTCAGGGTCAGGTCTGGAATGGTCTCCCCAGAGGGCAGTGCCAGGAGTTTGCTGTGAGTGAGGCCCCTATGGCAATCGCCTTTTCCAGCCCTTATCTAGTGCAGGTGCCATCCTTGGGATTGGGCTGTGGGGAGAAACATGGGAAGGAACTGACTCAGGACCACCACTGTACCCCTGGAGGACGGAGGAGAGGGGAGGAGCATGCCCATCCCATCGTCGCCCTGTTTTCTCTCTGCAGAGATCCCAGTCCTCAGTCTGGGCATGCCTCCTTGGAGGGTCCTGGTTCTGGGCAAGGGCATTGCCACCACAGGCTGCTCCTCCAAACTGTGAGGCACCCATGGGTGTGGGTGACTGCTGAGTTCAGCTAGAGACTGCGCTGGGACATGACACCCCTGATGGTGCCAGACCCAGGGTTTCCTGCAGCAGGTCAGACTAGGAAGGAGTCCTGTCCCCTGGATCCCCCATTTCCATCCAGGGCCTGGTGCCCTCTTACTCTTGTGGAAGAGAGTGGGGTATCACACGGGGTTTGGTTGCGCTCAGTGCAAACACCGTCCTCTACAGCACTCAGTCTCTTTAGCCAGGATCACGTGCAGCTGTAAAAGGAAGGAACCATTGTTTTCTTTTTAATCTTTTAAATCTTTTTTCTGAGCTTTTAAAAATTATACTTTTTTATTTTTCACAATTAAAAAACCCTGACACTTTTACTGAGAAAAGCCCGATCCTCTAAGTAAGCCAAACCAGTACTTCAAGAGGACAATGCTCCAGGATGTCAATTGATAAAATACTCCAAGAACCAAAAATCTAGCCAGAATCTGCTGTTTTGAGGCAGGACTCTCTCCTGTATTTATGTGGCACCTCATCTCCTTCAAAGCACTGTGCCATCTAATCCCAATTCATTTAGGAAAGCAGGTCATCTGTATGCCTTAATTAACATTTTCTCTGAATTTTCTGGATTTGCAGTTTTGGAAATCATTATGACATTCCTGCAGTGTTTTTACTTACGTCTTACTGAGATGAGCTCTCAACCCTAACTCCAGCCTAAGGTAGGCCATGGAATTGGAAATGAAGCTGCATTTAATAGCAATAGACTGCCAGAGTTACTGATTAAGCAAGCACTGCTGATGGTTAACCTTGAAATAAAATGTGAAAAAGAGGCTTTGCCTGGATGCATAATAAAAAAACAGTCATTTCCTGATGTTTAGTTTCAGAAAATGTGTTTAAATAAAATGAAGCATGATGTCAAAAGTCTCACTTGTGATCCACCAGGGAAGATTGGCTTTCCCTGGCTGGGCTCAGGGTGTGGCAACTTCAGAAGTGAGAGAGCAACACAAGGGGAAGAGATGGACATAAAGCCTTGGGAAGGATTACCAGCCAACTCTGTTTGTCCTTGGGATGACAGAGGGGAGAGCAGGCCGTCAGGCTCCGTTCTGAGGAGGCAGCAGGGTGCTTGGCCTTGTACGAATCAACTCCCCATGGCTGCTTCAGATAGGAAGACGCATCTCTAAAGTGTGCACTGTGAACCCAGGAAAGAATTGGGTGAGCCTGCTGCTGGGGGGCTGTGCTTCCAGCCTCATGGAGCTGCATCTGTTGGGATCAGAAGGCTCCAGGGGGACAAATGGCAGCGACCAGCCTCTTGCAGGGACTGAGGATGTCAGACTCTGACAGCCAGACCCTGCCAGATTGTGGCCAGGGATCTGTGTCGGTGGACCATGCCCTGCCCCTGCTTGGTGCCCTGCTCACCCCTAGGTGTTGTCACCATTTGCAGAAACGATTCCCAGACAAGCCTTTTCTGCCATTGGCATGCGACAGCCCTGGGCTCCATTGGCTGAGATTACACGTACTTGTGCAAGAAGTGCAGAGGGGTGGGAATGGATCCCTGCATGTGTCATGTTTTAGAGTGACTTGTTTATATGGAAAACTGGTCACTGCTTCATGGGCTTCTGGGTTTGGTGTCCATCAGACTTCAGATAAAGACCCCCAATTTACAGAATCAGAATAATAGAAAAGTAGGACTAGAAGGGCTCTCAGAAGATCATCTAGTCCAGGCCCCTGCTCAAGGCAGGATCATCCCTATCCAAACCATCCCATATAAGTTCCTAAAACTCCAAGAACAATGCTGCACAACTGCAAGGACACCAAGAAGACTCTAGCCTGCTGCAGGTAAAGTAGGGCTATGAAAGCACTGTCAACATCCTGTCACTGCAAGCTGCTTAAATACACACTAACGATTCAAGGAAGTTGGCCATGCCCCTTCACCCCATCACGGAGGAAGGCAAACCCCCTCATAGTCTGTTCTAATCTGACCATGGGGTAAAACTATTTCCTGCCCTTAAATGTGGAGATCAATCTAACCCTGAGCAAATGGGAAACTCCATCTAAACAGGAACCCTGGAGTTTAACACTCAGCAAGAGCACTGGCACACCCTGTCTTGGTTGCACCCAGTGCTTGAGGAAGGCATAAAAACCCTGACACCTGTAGCAGCAGGAGGGGGAATAATTCCTTCCCAGTCCCATGTGGCAACCAGTCAAGTCCAGAAGCATGGGATAACCAAACACCCTTCACTCTGCTCTGCAACCTGGGGATAGCAAACAGCTACACACGTCCACCCCCTTTCTGTCATCCTTCCCCTCCATACATTTATGGCACTACCTTTAATCTTCTTTTGTAACTGTTGCAGCTCTGCTTGTTCTCTTGCTGCTGAGCATTGCCCTCACAGTGATTGGGGAGGGGGAGGGGGCTCCTGAAAACGAGTCAGGTGTCTAATGGACTCACTCCCCACCCCATTCTCCCCAGTGTTAGGGTGACCCTGGCGGTGTCCCGTGACATGGAGCCTTGTGGCCTGTGCTATGCCTCCTCCTGCTGGGAGCTCTGTG